GAAGTTGGGCCTGGGTGGCCGGTTTTCCCATTTAGCATGGGTGGGCACGTGGCGTGTCTCAATTGGTCCGTAGAGGACGTATCTGTGATTGACACGTGGCAGGCTCCTATTGGCCTACGTGAAGGACACGTGGCGGAACCTGGTTGGTCCACTTGTCAGACGCTGATTAGTGGATAAAAATCCCCTAATCAATTCCAACTTTGATTTTAATTTCATCCTAAGCAACATAATCAAACTTGATAATTTCAAATACTAAAAAATGTAATAGCACAAAACGGCTCTGTTTAATCACTAAAAATAGACCAACAGATTCCTATCAAAATGCAAAACACTAATTACAGTGTAATCTTGGTCTAATCATAGCATCGATAATCATCACATTGTATGCTATTAACGACGTGGCATCGGACAGTAAAAAATAAAAAATAAATCCAATCACAACAAAGTTCAGATAAATGATGATAATCAAAGCCTAAATTTCAGCCCTACTCATAAAGTCACAAGTCTTACCTTCCTTTAATTGGGGAAACAGGGTAGTTTGTCCCGAAACAAGAACATTAATGCCACAAATAGAAGGTTTTATTTGAGCTAAAATAATAATTTGACAGAATTTTATAATGTTAGATTCTATTTACAAAATTATGTTCATAAGAATTTTATAAAAAACTGTACAAGTTCAGTAAACATAACTCAGTACATTCTTATGAACAACATTACAGTTCACAAACAGTTCTAGTATTAGACGATGACAATAGCATCAGCCACAAGGTTTGCTAATGAGATTGATATATTCTTAAAGAGTTATGGCGTACTACGAAGTACATCCAACAACCTTCAAAAACACCAGACTGAAACTTTGCAACCTGTATTTTAGAAAAACTATATTCAAAGACAGTTTAATGAAAGATCTCAGACATCCAAGGAAGGATATAAACAGCATTAGCTCTCAAGTCTGCGCAGACGAAAGCTCTTAGGCGGCCACTGCGAATGTTTTGAGAAACAAGCCTTTTAATTTATCATCATAGATCTCTTACCTTCTGTGCAAGGATTGATTCAATAAGATTATTTAGAGATCAAAATTTTTTTAAAAAAAAAAATAAAAATAAATAAATAAAAATTCCATGAAAAAAAATGTGAGAAGGAATTAGTAGATAAGGAGCACAATTAGCCACCCCAGCTGTGGATCCATCTCTACGGTTGTCTGGCCGCTGCTGCTTTTTATCAGTTTGATTTTCATCAAAACTAATAAAAGCAACTATTTTTTTATGCACCTTGAGTAATAATACTCCATTATTGGATTTAATTAGTGGGTATAAATCACATAAAAGGTGCGATATCATTATATTTAACTTTTCAAAGATTATGAATGTAAGTCAAATGTCTTCAAAAAAAAAAATTGTAAGTCAACTAAATTTATTGGACAGAGACCTAGGAAGGGCAGTCTATAAGCTAAAATTGAAATTTTATTACATTGGCTGTAACATTAAGGAATGTGGTGTTAAACAATAGAATATTTCATTGCAAAACAAACACAATTGGTTGCATTTCAACTAGTTGAGAGACAAATATGAAGTAAAAAGAAAAGTCTCAGACATCCAAGGAAGGATAGGAGCAGCATCAGCTCTCAAGCCTGCGCAGGCGAAAGCTCTTAGGCGGCCACTGCGAATGTCTTGAGAAACAAGCCTTATAAAAGTATCCTCATAGACCTCTTCTAAATACTTCAGAACATGAATACGGTGACTATCAACAATGGAATACAGAAGCAAATCACAATTTAGAGCCCAAACTAACACACGCAAATACTCATCAAGCTGAAGGTATGCAGCAAATGACTCGAAAATATGAAATGCAAATGCAATAGATCATCACAACCTTGGACAAACATAGTTCAAAGTCCATATCCATATAGCCTACCTAAGAATATTGCAATTAAACCCATTAGCTCTGTTCTCTAAATATAACCTTGAACGCTTTAAGCTTTGTTTGGGTAGAAAAGAAAGAAGTACAGCGCAGGGAAAAAGAGGAAGCAATGGGAAAAGAAAGGAGTATGAGATGAGCTTCATTTTCCCCAACTCTCCAATTTTGGACAGATTATTACCCAAAAGAAAAATTGTCTCCCTTATTTTCTCGGCTCTTCTTTTCCTTCCATTTCTTTCAATCCAAAGAAAGTGTAAATATTACACTCAACAATCGTATTCCCTTCAAACAACCGCATATCCTTTATATGCGAGACAGACAATTCCAATTCCTTGCTCCTTGCCTAATGCTTTGGTCAACTACAATGTCTATCGTATAGAATGTCTATTTGTCAAGCATATCATCACAAAACTACTTGCTTTGGCCAAAGTTGAAGTAAACGAAGAAGTCTCAGACATCCAAGGAAGGATAAAGCAGCATTAGCTCTCAAGCCTGCGCAGGCGAAAGCTCTTAGGCGGCCACTGCGAATGTTTTGAGAAACAAGCCTTTAGATTTATCATCATCGACCTCTTCACATACTTCAACTCGTCAATATCTTAAAAAACCATCATCACATCTCCTGATATCGTCACCGTCTACAACCTCCAAGTTCAATCACCCATCAACAAATTATTCATCTTCAATAAAATTAGCCTCAGGAAAAAAGTCTTTCATCAATATCAGACGGTAATTCCAACATTTTTATAATGTAATTCATCACTGGCCAATTTCCAAACACAATAAAACACTAGACTTCTAATTTAAAAGTAAATTCACTAATTATCAAAATTAAATACACTTAAATAAAAATATTTTTGAAAATTAATAGGGTAAAATGGTAAATTAAAGAGGTCTCAGACATCCAAGGAAGGATAAAACAGCAATAGCTCTCAAGTCTGCGCAGACGAAAGCTCTTAGGCGGCCACTGCGAATGTTTTGAGAAACAAGCCTTAAAATTTAGCATCATCGACCTCTTTAATCGAATTAATTACAACTCCTAATCAAAATTAACAAATTTTTAAAACAGAGTTTTTCATATATATTATGTAGCCTCAGTAAGAGAGTCAAGAATCATCAATATATATCAGACGGTAATTCCAACTTTGATTTTAATTTCATCCTTGACTACATAATAAAATTTTAATTATAATTTCAAAAATTAAAAATGTAATCGCACAAAACGGCTCCGTTTAATCATGGAAATAAAAACCAACGGATTCCTATCAAAATGCGAATCACTAATTAAAGCTTAATCTTGGTCTAATCATAGCATCGATAATCATCGCATTATATGCTATTAACGACGTGGCATCGGACCGTCAATTTTAAATAAAAAAATAAAAAATCGAAATTAAATTTCCCTCAGAGACCCGTTCATAATCACACACAACAGAAATAGAAGAAGAGAATAAAAAATCAGAAGACAAACCAAAAACCGGGGAATGTTGATTAAGCCTACAAAAGACGAGGTTTCCCGACCGAAATGAACGGTGGATGGGAAGATCAACGGCGGATGATGGAAGAATCAACGGCGGAGATTGGTTGAGTTCTTGAGAGATTTTAGACTCTAAACCTTCGAAATCTGTTTGTTTAAAGTGTCAGACGGCACTTCCTATCTTTTTTTGGGAATCTTTCTTCATTGGGAGAGATATTTGATTGATTGAAATTGAAAAGCCTAAAACCCTAAAACATAAACCCTAATTTGGGGAAGAAGATGAGAGGAAGTGAATGAGTGAGAGAATGAGAGGGAGATGAGGGGTTTTAATGGAGGAGGAAGAGGGTTGGGAAACCCTAATTGTGGAATGGTTTTGGGTTGGGCTGGGGTTTTTGGGCCCATGTATTTGACCTAAGTTTTCTTTTTTTTAATGTTGGTCGTCAAGCTTCATCGGTTAGAACTGCTGGACCTAATAATCCTAATATGCCAATATGGTTAACCACATGACCCAAATAACTATATTATCTTCTATAAATTAACATATATATATATTGCTCTGAAGTGGACCTCATAAGCATCAAATACACTTTAAAAAATTTGTCCTAAAAAAACCACTATAAAAATTGTTAAAATTTAGGATATCATGACAAAAACACACTAATTACAGTGATATACGCGTGTTTTTGTCATAAATTTCTAATTTTATAAAATTCAAAATTATATTAAATGCTTAAATGTAGTCTTACGGGCTATGTATAGCATTACCCTAGAGTACTAAATATGATTTCACAATAATCTTTGTGGAGAAAAAAAAATTGATTTGGATTTAAAATGTTCAGGTTCAAATTGTGTCAATTTGATTTAATTAGGTTGGAATTGTTAGGAAGTTTATGTCAAGTCAATATAATGATCAATTCTTGCATCAAAAATATAATGATCAATACTAACAAAAAGTATAAGTACATAATCAACAAGAGATGAATGTGGATACCTATTTAATTTACCCACCCAAAAAAATTGTACCTAGGACAATTAATTGCTTTAACTAGTTTTGAGGGTTGTGCCTAATTGATTCATTCTCCACGTCAATCTCGAACCAGTCACAATACATCATTTTACATACTCCGTATGAAATATTATGTTGAGAGTAATAAGTTTTGCCATTTTTTTCCCATATATTATTAGTGAAATCTTAGGCGGCGGATAATATTATTTGTTGAGGCATGCTTTAAACATGCTACCTTAGATTTATTATTATTTTTATTTAGTCTTTTCTAGCTCAGCATAGTTAGTTACAGTTTGTAACATAATGTTGTATATATAGCCTGTACCTCTCTTTCTTCCTCTTTAACTTAATGAAAAATCATTCTTACAATTTTTCTTCGATTTTTCCTCTCTAATTTCTCTGGATTCTCTGGATTCTTCTAGAAAACTTGATCAAGAAATTCAAGTTTTCACATGGTATCAGAGCAATTAGGTGCTCGTTTTCGTTGATTTCTTCTCTGATTAATTGATTTTCTCTTCGATTAATCGATTTCTTCCTTGATTTCTTCTTTGATTCTTTGATTTTCTATTCGAACCTCTGATTTTCCTTCGATTTTGAGCTGTAATGGGAGATTCTAGAGCGAATTCTACGAATTCTGGCATGAATTTCAATGATCCTTACTACCTTGCTAATGGAGATCATCCAGGTATGCAACTCGGATCTCATGTGCTTACTGGTGCAAACTTCATTAATTGGAGTAGAACTGTTAAGATGGCTTTAATTGCTAGGAATAAGCTTGGATTTGTTGATGGAAGTACTCCTATGCCTGATTCTGATAGTTTAGATTACCAAAAATGGTTACGAAATGATTACATGATAATGAGTTGGTTGCTGAATTCAATGGATAAGAATTTATCTGAGAGTTTCTTGTTTGTTAATTCTTCTGCTCAATTGTGGAATGAATTGAAGGAGAAATTTGGTCACTCGAATTTGCCTCAGTTATTTGATTTTCATAGGAGCTTAACTTATATTCAGCAAAATGATGCATCTATTGCTGAATATTTTGGGAATCTGAAAAAAGAATTTGGGATCAACTTCAGATTCTTGAAGGTTTTCCTGATTGTAGTTGTGGTGCTATGAAGAATTGTTCGTGTGGAATTCTTAAGAAGATCTATGAAATTGATCAACGTCAGAAGTTGATGCAGTTGCTTTGTGGTTTGAATAAATCCTTTGATGTTGTTAAGACTAATTTGTTAAGTGTTGATTCTGTGCCATCTATTAACAAAGCATATCATACTCTGCAACAAATTGAACAGCAGCAGAAATTTAATGGAATGACTACTGTATCTAATATTGAGATGAATGCTCTTAATGCAAATAGATCTGTTATCTCGAGGTTTAATTCTCAGAATGTTCAGCAACAGTCTGGTAATTTGAAGGGAGATCTTAAGAAGATGAAGTATGATTTGCAGTGTGATCATTGAAAAAGGAAAGGTCATTCGATTGATCAATGCTTCAAGTTAATTGGATATCCAGAGTGATGATATTCTTGGAAATTGGATATTTGAAGGGAAAATCAATTGTTCATTCTTCAAAAATGGCTGCAAATACTAGTTCTTCTGGTATTCTTGGAAGTGGACCTCATGATAGTATTGCTGGAGGTTCAAGTACTGTTGCTCCTAGTGTTGATCCTGTTATGGTTAACAGTGTCTATCATGAAGTTATCAAAATGATGAAGGCTCAAGGTGATTATGGAGATTCTGGTTTGGATAATCCTCTAGCAAGTTCAGTCAATTTTGTAGGTATTTCTCAATCAAATGGTTTTCAATTTAATAGCATGAACTGGATTATAGACACTGGTGCATCTGATCATATGGCATGTCTGTTGAGAATAAATTTCAAGCGTTAATCCCTAGCTTGAACCTCACTGTGATCATACACTAAAGTACGGTGGCGTCCAAAAGGGAAGAAGATAGAGCAAAAGAGTCGATCGCCAACAAGTTTTTTAGGAACTTGTAAACCGTTCACAAGGTGAAAGTTACACCCCTTAACGATCTAAGAGATCGTCAACTCCATAAGGTCTAGAACCAAATAAGGGTTCGGGGATGAAGGTACAAATCCAACCTAAAAGAGATTGAATCTGCCCTAATAATAGGCCTCTACTTTATTCTGATCGTATTCATGTGCGCTTTTTAATTAACATACAATCAATAAGATTAACCCTAAACCTGTTTATCTATGTTGGTTGAATTTAATGCACAAATAAAACTATTATTGGCGATCACTTGAAATTATAATCAAATTAACCCTAACAAGATTATTAATCATCTTATTAAGCGTGATTACTAGTACAAATTCCCTTTAAACACGCATAAAAAGGTGTGATCAAGCAATAAAAATAAATAATGTATCAAGCAACATAATAAATAATCATCATTATAATAATCATAATAATATTCATAATATTCATAATCATCATAAATTATAACAATTATAATCATAATCATGTTCATGTTAATATTAAAGCATAATAAAAATAGCAAGATCCTAGGCATGATACTAACAAGATTAATAACAAACCCTAGCATGTCACTAAGCAATAAAAATCAAATCTTTAACCCTAACATGATACTAACAATCATAAATATTAGGAAGAAAATAAAAGGCATCATAGCAATCATATTTAATATTAAAATTACCCTAGACATGATACTAGGAATATCATAATAACAATATAAGCATGATTTCTACATCATAATATCAATTAAAACCATTAAAGCACTTACTTTGATGCCTCGTACCTCTTTCTAATAACAAAATACACACGTTAGTAACTTCAAGGAAAATAATAAACAAAACAATTAAATAATTGAAATAGAGATTTGGGACCAAACCCTCAAAAATTAAACCTTTCACGTCTAGGGCGAAGGCAACTTCGAATATGGCTAGGTGTTTCTAGATCTTGTGAATGCGAAATTTTGTATGTAAAAGCAAGTTTAGAAAAGAGAGATGAATTAATGAATGAATTGATTAGGGAAATCTTAAGGAGAATTAGTGAATGATTAAAGAGAATTGAAAACTGATTGTAGGTGAGAATTGGTGAATGATTAAGAGAGAGTTAGAGAATTAATGATTGCGAATGAAAACTGATTGTAGGTGAATGAAAACGGAGTTTTTAATACGTTATTTATAGAGAAATCAGCCAAAAAGATAAAATATCAAAACAGAGCACTTGGCGCACGTAAAACGAGATTGGCTATATTGATGAGGAGGTATACATGACTCCACCTCCAGGGTATTCTGTTCCAGTTGGGAAGGTCTGCAAGCTTAAAAGGTCTTTATATGGTCTTAGACAGGCTTCTAGATGCTGGAACATTGAGTTGAGCAAATTTCTGGTTTCACAAGGGTATGTTCAATCCAAAGAAGATTACTCAATGTTTATCAGAAGTGTTGGGGATTCTTTTACTGTTGTTATTGCTTATATTGATGATTTACTGGTTTCTGGTAATGATTCTGGTGAGATATCCTCTTTGAAGACTAAATTGCATTCTACTTTTACTATCAAGGATTTGGGGGCTTTGACATACTTTCTTGGTATTGAGGTTACTAGAACAACTTCTGCATTTTATTGAACCAAAGAAAATATATCCTTGATATGTTAACTGATATGCAGTTATTGGATTGTTCTCTTGCTTCTTTTCCTGTTCCTAAGGGTGTCAAGTTCAACAATTTTGAAGGGGTTGTTTTGCCAGATCCCGAGGTTTACAGAAAAATTGTTGGTAAACTTTTGTATTTGAATCTTACAAGGCCAGACATATCTTTTGTTGTCCAGCAATTGAGCCAGTTTTTGAGTGAACCTAGAGATGTTCATTTGTCTGTGGTCAAACATGTACTCAGATACTTGAAAGGGACTTTTAATGTTGGTCTTTTTTATTCTGCATATGCTGATTTGAAGCTGACAACATATAGTGATGCTGATTGGGGTAATTGTATGGATTCAGGGAGATCTTTAACATGCTATACTATTTTTCTTGGGAATTCCTTGATTTCTTGGAAAACCAAGAAACAGAAAGTTGTTTCAAAAAGCTCAATTGAAGCTGAATATCGTTCTATGAGCAAGACTGCTGATGAAATACAATGGTTGGAAAGGTTGCTTGATGAGCTTGGAGTCTGTGTTCCTACTCCAATTACTTTCTTTTTGTGACAACATGGCTGCTCAACATATTGTTGAGAACCCATGTTTTCATGAAAGGACCAAGCATTTGAGGTCTAAACATCAAAAACTTGATGTTCATTACATCAGAGAAAAGGTTCAAGAAGGTCTTATCTGCTGTGTTCACGTACGTTCTGCTTTTCAACTTGCAGATATTATGACCAAAGCTCTGGGAGCTGATCAGCATCGTTTTCTTTCTCTCAAGATTGGTCTGGTCTGTCAACTAGTTCAATCTTGAGAAGGGGGGGTGTTGAGGCATGCTTTAAGCATGCTACCTTAGATTTATTATTATTTTTATTTAGTCTTTTCCAGCTCAGCATAGTTAGTTACAGTTTATAACAGAATGTTATATATAGCCTGTACCTCTCTTTCTTCCTCTTTAACTTAATGAAAAATCATTCTTACAATTTTTCTTCGGTTTTTCCTCTGTAATTTCTCTGAATTCTCTAGATTCTTCTGGAAAACTTGATCAAGAAATTCAAGTTTTCACATTATTAAATTAAATCAAGAGCTCTCAAAGTTATATACTTCAAAGTCCTTTTTCATTTCGGGCGTTTGGCATATATACTTCGGGCGTTTTGCATATCATTTCGTTACAAACTATAGTCAAAGTATTGGCCTTAAAAAAAAAGTCAAAGTATTACAAACATGATGACAACAAATAAACAATTCAAAGTCCTTTTTCATTTAATCATTCTAATTATAATGTCCTCATAGAAAAGCGCGAGTAATTTGTACATTTACAAACTTTTGAATTTTGATCTATGTATATTGTCAAGAAAATTTATAGTGTGTTTACAAAGTGTTACGAACATGCGTCTGATCAAGGATGCAGAAGACCAGTAGACGTTCCAAGCGCTATTTCTTTGATTTGGCCTTGACTATTTTTTCTACCCCGCCATTTCTTGAACAAAAAAATAAACAAAACAACCAACATTACCACTACCAATATGCTACCCCCAACAACAATTCCCACCGCGACACGATTCCTCGAAGGAGTTGGTGGTTGTGGGACGAACGAGATTGGCGATTATGCCAAATGTGGTATTGCCGGTGGCAGACGCGTTTTTTGATGTAGCGGAAGTGACATCGATGGTGCCAAGGTTGGTGGCAGCACTAAGAGCAATCTATGTGGTGCTAGTGGTTGGAAAATTATTGTTTTGCAACCACTGGTTATGAAAATTATGGTGATCCATGTCAATACAATTTAGCATAGCTATTCAATTTATCTAATGATCTAATGAATTTAAACATTAATGTTGAATTAGGTAGGCAAAAACACGGGTGTTTGTACGTGTAGTAGACTAGTAGTTGCTAACATGTTGCATATTCAAACATAATTTATTTTTGTAGTCTATCAAGTACATTTTAATTTGTCTCCCACTATCATAGTTTTGATTTTAATTTTTAAACATTATTTTATTTATTTTATTAGAGCTAAATTGAACTGAGCTGAACTGAATTGATTATAAAATAAGGAAATTAGAAATTGAACTGAATTGAAATTAAGCTGAAGAGAACATACCGTATATGAATGTGGATTAATAGTGTATGTTAAACATTTTTCAAAAGAAACCTTTTTCCTCTCTTTATTTTTTGGTTTGTTAAGCAGTGGAAAAAAGTTCTCCCAATGCTTATTAAAGGAAGTAACTTTCATCAAACTCCCTAGTCCTTATTCTTTATCCCGTCCATCATCATCCTTACACTATTATACTTTCTACAACTAAAAAAAAAAAAAACTTTCTACGACTAATTTGAAGTTTTGTTACAAGTGGAAAAACTTTTCCGAGGACAACATTTTCCGTCAAACCAAACTGAGCCTTAATCACAACGATTAGCAATTTTGTTATAATTTGAAAAACTTTCCTAAGGATAACATAATCTTTATCCAAAATGAGCCTTTAGCACAACTATGCATTTCCCTTGGATTTTGATTTTTGACTGGAAGATTAGTTAAATGTTGGTGAACTGGTGTAAATAGGGATGGCAACGGGTCGGATATCGACCGGGTCCGGATGGACCCGGATCCAAATCCGTTTTTGTATATAGGATCCAGATCCGACCCGGATCCGTCGGGTCTAGAAAATGAAGACCCGGATCCGGATCCGTCGGGTCCAATATATTTTGCCTAATTTTTTGCAATAAATGTAATGTTCGGGTCAAAAAATTTTATTTCAAACTTACGTTGTTGGTTATTAAGTTCAACCCCAAATTAACCAACTTATACACTCATATTTTGAATTAAAATTATAAACGACAAAAAAATACGATGTTACATATGAGCTAATGAAAAAACAACGATGATGTATATAATATGAGCATCCAAAATTCATCTCTTGAAAGGGTTAATCATTATTATTACTAACATTATCAACATTTTTAATTTAGAAACAAACAATTTTAGTTTTTTTTAATAGGAAAAATAAAAAAACGGGTCCACGGATCTCGATCCGGGTCTAGGGCCCAAACCCAGATCCAGATCCATTTTTGTCAACAGGACCGTCGGGTCCAAAATTTGAAGACCCAGATCCGTGAAAAACGGATCTGGATCCACAAATCCGGGTCGGGTCCAGATCTATTGTCATCCCTAGGTGTAAACAGCGCTAAATGAGAATGGGCTTTACGTGGACTAGGCTTGGTAGGGCTATAGATGGGCTGATTACGAGCTATCCATGGGCCTAAGATCTTGGACCACGGTGGAAATCCTGGTATTAGGCCTAGCAAAAACAATATTTAAGATTTCAACAGGTGATGTAAAACATAGAGTCTGAATAAAACTAACATGGATAAAAAAATCAGTGAGTATTTGGACTAAAACAAAACTTGAACATTGTTTACCAACAAAACTTGAACATTAAAAAAATATAAAGGTAAAAAAACAAAGATCATGTAGGCTCATGCGGCGGCTCATATTTTCACTAAGCTAGGGTAGGCTTTGCTATAACTAGAGGAGTGGGGGCCCAGATTGTATCTCGGCTTTCCACTAATTTATTGTAGGTAGTATGACTTTTGTTTTTGAGAAATAATAATAATAATAATAATAATAATAATAATAATAATAATAATAATAATAATAATAATAATAATAATAATAATAATAATAATAATAATAAACATGTCTAATCTCCATGCATAAATCGCCCAACTTTTTTGAGTTCTTGAGTAAGGCATAGTGTAGAAGAGTGAATCTCAGTAGAGCAAAGCAGAGAAGAGTAAATGTCAACAGAGCAAAGCAGGTGTCAGTAGATTATTAATACTCAACAGAGCATAACATAACCACAGCAGCTCAAAAGAATAGGGCCTAAAAAATATTAAAATAAATATATTTTGAAAGCAATGTAATGTAATTGAACATTTATCTAAAATCCGACTAACTTGCCGTTCAAGCAATGTAATGTAACTCACCCTGTGACCTCAAGGTCACAAGTTCGAGCCCTACTAACTACTAAATGTTTGGGAGTGACAACATTTAGAAACATTTTCCCTCAGACCTGTCGATGTGTTACTTTATTCATGGGATCGTGGTCGTGATGTATGTGTCGACTTCACAGAGTCTTCTCCTTTGACACAGACAGAACTATCTGACTTTTTTCCTGGACGGATTGTGGCTGATGCGGCTCATCGAAAGCGGGTTAAGTATGAGGCTCATTGTCGGGCGATTGGCTATGGTTTCATTCCCTTCTTCTTTTCTTCGCTTGGGGAATTAGAGAAAGAGACTGTTGCGTTGCTGAAGCGGATTCAGAGGTTCTCGACGACACAATACATTGGGGTTCGTGCTGCAGCTCATATCTTCACTAGGATAAGCTTTGCTATAGCCAGAGGAGTGGGAGCCCATATTGTATCTCGGCTTCCCACTAATTTATTGTAGGTTGTATGACTTTTGTATAATAATAATAATAATAATAATAATAATAATAATAATAATAATAATAATAATAATAATAATAATAATAATGTCTAATCTCCATGCATAAATCGCCCAACTTTTTTGAGTTCTTGAGTAAGGCATAGTGTAGAAGAGTGAATCTCAGTAGAGCAAAGCAGAGAAGAGTAAATGTCAACAGAGCAAAGCAGGTGTCAGTAGATTATTAATACTCAACAGAGCATAACATAACCACAGCAGCTCAAAAGAATAGGGCCTAAAAAATATTAAAATAAATATATTTTGAAAGCAATGTAATGTAATTGAACATTTATCTAAAATCCGACTAACTTGCCGTTCAAGCAATGTAATGTAACTCACCTTGTGACCTCAAGGTCACAAGTTCGAGCCCTACTAACTACTAAATGTTTGGGAGTGACAACATTTAGAAACATTTTCCCTCATACCTGTCGATGTGTTACTTTATTCATGGGATCGTGGTCGTGATGTATGTGTCGACTTCACAGAGTCTTCTCCTTTGACACAGACAGGGCTATCTGACTTTTTTCCTGGACGGATTGTGGCTGATGCGGCTCATCGAAAGCGGGTTAAGTATGAGGCTCATTGTCGGGCGATTGGCTATGGTTTCATTCCCTTCTCCTTTTCTTCGCTTGGGGAATTAGAGAAAGAGACTGTTGCGTTGCTGAAGCGGCTTCAGAGGTTCTCGACGACACAATACATTGGGGTTCGTGCTGCAGCTCATATCTTCACTAGGATAGGCTTTGCTATAGCCAGAGGAGTGGGAGCCCATATTGTATCTCGGCTTCCCACTAATTTATTGTAGGTTGTATGACTTTTGTATAATAATAATAATAATATTAATAATAATAATAATAATAATAATAATACCTCTGTTACATATTATTTGCAACGATTTGACATAATATGTAGAGAGGAAATAAATCGTTGCAAATAATATGTAACGGAGGTAGTAGTAATAATAATAATAATAATAATAATAATAATAATAATACCTCTGTTACATATTATTTGCAATGATTTGACATAATATGTAGAGAGGAAATAAATCGTTGCAAATAATATGTAACGGAGGTAGTAGTAGTAATAA